CATGTTGCATAACTGGTTGCGTAAAATATATCTATTTGACACTTGTTGCGATTACAAAAAATGTCACTTTATATGTCGAAATTAAAAAAAAATCATTATATTAAGTTATATTTCTATTTTTTATTTTTGAATCATTGTTTAAATTTTCTTAAATGTTTTTTTAGTAGTATAGTATTTTCTTGCTTTAATAATACGAAAAACCGTATTATATTACTTTTCTACATAACGGGAAATGTTTAATAATGAACAATTAAGTGTGTTGTTCTATCTTAATTAGGTGCATTCCCTAGACAGGAAACTAGGAATAAGGCAATGATTTTTGTTTATTCAATCTCCGCTTTAGCCTGTTACATACTGCTAGTGCATCCCTTTTTAATGTCATTGACTTAAAGTATCAGTTTTTATTTAATTTATTTGAAATGTAATTATTTTGTACAGGGTGGGCAACTTAAAAGTGCTACAACTTCTCATCTTCGTTATTATGAATTATCAAAATGAACTTCTATTTGTTTTAAAGTTTAGTAAATCGCAATGTAACTGTCAAAATGGCCTCAGAGGTCCACGAGTCCTCAGAGAAACTAAAAATTTCATTTGACACTGCTATTAAAACACCTCCACCACACAATTTGTTTGAAGAGCTTGATTCCCTATCGCGACGATATTTTTTGTATGATGTAGAAATTTCTTCATTAGATATTGATGTTAAATGATTTAAATTAAATACACTTGATCAGGTAAAAGTGTAGTAGATCACTTTTTAGAACTACCAATTCAAAAACAAATTATTTTAAAAATTTACCATTCACTCTGTTGGTTTCAAAATTACACTGTAGTATGGAAACAACAACAGAGTCTACAAACAACACAAAATGACTATAAGTAGCTATTACTCGTAGTAGCTATATATCTAAATTGTATTATTAGTTTCTTTGTTTTCTCTTCAATATTAAATTGTAATAATATCCTAATTTATGTTATCAATTAAAAACATTTCCTGTGTTTTATACTGCTACTTTTGTATTCGTATCCATTAAAAGAAACTATATCTTAATTTGATTCAATGTATCGACATTGTTTGTCACCGAACCCCTTTTTTAAAACCCTTATATCCTCATACTACAAATTGTAGATTATCTTTGTCTTTAAAACAAATGAAAACTTCCGGTGCTGTCAAAAGGGTGTAATTTAACATCCTCTTTTATAATGAGAGGAAATACCCAAATAGGTATTGGGTCTGGGATGTATTGTTATATGTCTATTAGGAATAAAATTAATAATAAATAATAAAATATAAATCACAAAATAAATGCGTTCTTGTAACTAGAGGATGCATAATTTACTAATTGTTTTGATACTTGTTTACATTATATACCTACTAAATTATTTTTGCTAACAATTTGGTAGACCCAAAAATCTAGATTTTTAATTTATAAATATCTATATTATAAAAGGAACAAAAGTAAATTCTGTGCACACAAATCTTTACATTGACAATAAATTTTTAAAGTCCATAAGCCAAATACCTCGGACTCATATTTGATCAAAGGCCGACGTGGAATCAACTTCTCAAAAGAGTCGCATACAAAGCTACAATAGTCGTAGAAGAATTTGTGGGAAAAACTGGGGTCTAAGCTCCAACATGACCATATTATGCTTATGCATTTAGTGGTCCGCCTGTCTGAGTGCCAATGGGGCCATGCGTACCACGCCAACTGCAGCACTGGAGGTACTATTAAACCTTACGTGGCATCACAACTTTAGGAGAAACCAGGTTCGTTATTAACAGGCTAATTCAGGGACAATACCCAATAAGCCAATTACATAGCACTGCCCATACCAGGCTATATCAGCGAGTAAAAAAAAGGATAAGATCCTAGGAATGCCTACTGATATAGCTATAACCACATACAAATTTGAAAAAAATTTTCAAATTCAAATACCATTCCAAGAATCCTGAAAACGGAGATCTCCCATATAGGCTGCTGAACTCATTTAGTATACAGACAGTTCAAAAAACAAGGAATCTATGGACCCAAGTCCAAAACAACGATTTGCCTAAGTCTAGGCTGAACTAATAGCCATACAACATGTGCAAGAGAAATAATAAATCAACAAATATCAGGCAAAACTATTGCCATCTACTCTGATAGCCAAACAGCTCTAAAGACAATTTTCTCACCAGAAATAAAATCACGATTGGTGAAAAACTGCCTAGAAGACCTAGTAGAGCTAAGTAATCACAACAAGGTGACCCTAGCCTGGGTGCCAAGCCACGAGGGATATCAGAGCAACGAAAAGGCCAACGAATTAACCCGAAAACAGTCAGATAAAGCCATGACAGACTCGGAACCCTTCTGCAAAAAGAGTTTAAGGAACGATGGAACAATTATCAAAGACTGAGACTGGCCAAACAGTTCATCAAGGAACCATCAGCCAAGTTCACGAAAGATCTACTGGATTAAAAACGTTACATCGTTAAAATAACCAAACACTTAAGCCTAAGACGGCATATGAGTGTCTTCAATCCAGCAGAAGCAACATTTTGCACGTTCTGTGAAGAGGAAGAGGACGTTGTGTGCCAGTGTAAAGGCCTGACTAGATTGAAGTTTCTAACATTAGGCGAAGAAGAAAAACCAAATGCATGGAACTACATGTGGGAGCCACTGTTGAAGTTACTAAGTCTAATAAAAAAGACCAAGCTAGATCCTAATAAAACGGAGTCTCACAATATATCTAAGAAGGTTGCGGTGGACAAGGAGAAATAATGTCCAACTTGGTTCAAATCTAATCTAGCTTTTGAGTCCTGCTTTTCGATTTCAGACAAAAACGTTTTATCGTGTCCTAGCTTCATATTCAAAGAAGATGTAAATTCGTCATCCACTGTATTGTCGTCTTTTAAGTTCTTTGTAGACCTCACTCACCACACGTGGGTTTGCTTTCCATTCTTGGTCATGATCATGCTGATTCTTATCTCTCGCCAATAAGTTTGATGCCTTGTGACTATCTACTTACTCCCTGTCTCATGGAAGGTGTAGGAGTTTTGCTTATCCCAGACGAAGATAGCCAGACAGTCCTTAAAGCAATGAGCACTAACGTAGTTGATTCAAAACTGGTTTAGAACTGCATAAATATCCGCGAGTGCCTCGATACCTGGAGCAAAGTTACTTTGATCTGAATTGGAGGCACAGCGATGTGGAGAGCAATGGAAAAGCTCGCTAATGGAGTTCTGAGTTCTTGAGATCAGAACCAATCACTGGTATTGTAAAAAGAAGAATATCCGATTGTATATCGAGTTAATTAGTTCAAATTGAACATACTGATTGGCTAAAAATCATACGAAGTAATAATATAGTAATAACATATTAAATGTGGTGTACCTCAAGGGACAGTTTTAGGACCAACACTTTTTAATTTATACAATAAATAATCTTTATTGTACCTCTAAAATGGGAAGTTTTACTAGTTTTGCTGACGATACAGTTATTATCTACTATGATACTTGTTGAAATACTCTGAAGGATAAGATAGAGTCAGATCTAAAAAATGTATATGAATGGTTTAGTGACTGTGAATTATTCCAAAACTTACTATCTAGCTTTTACATCATACTCCTCTAAACAAACTACAGTATGATTAAACTTTGTATAAATAATGAATTAATAGAAATTAAAAATACTAATTACATAAAATATTTGGGAGTCATGGTCGACCAACATTTAAAATGGGATAATCAATGCCAGTATGTTACAAAAAAACTTATTGTATAAATTTAGGAAATTTCGTGATATTTTTGATGATTGACAGTTGAGGGTTCTGTACTATTCATTAATAGAATCTTTTTTATGGCCTCATAGCATGGGGAAGTGCATTAGAAACTCATTTACATGACGTAGAAGTAGTATAAAATTTTTTATTAAAAATTATTTTAAAAAACCATTTAGGTATTCCTCAAATGATTTATTTTTAGAAACTAAAATCATTCTAATACATCGATATCGTCATAAAAATGAATTAAAAAATAAAAATAGTCATGCCTACTCAACCAGAGCTGTTGCGCAAAATTTAGCACATATTCCTAAAGCTGAAAAGAACATATTACAAAGAAACTATACTTACCTTGGTCTTAAATTATATAATAAAGTTTCAGCTGATATAAAAATGAAAATTCAAATTATACTTCTGTAAATACCCCGGATAGAAATTCAAAACTGAATTCATCAAAAGGCCAGTCAAATTACTGAATAACCTAAAACAAATATAAGAATCAATTTTTAATACTTTTTAGAGTCTTCTTCTAAGATCCTCCTCGACATCTCACAGTTTAATAATACTTTCTTTCGCGCATTATAGTTTTATATGTTCTTTAGTTAGTTTTTTAGTCATTAACCTTTCTTTTTAAATTGAATTTAAATATAAGTTTTTATAATTGGCCCTACCCCCTGTGGAGTTTTTTATTTATTCACTATAGTTTTTGTATATGTAAGTATATTATAAATTGTACCTTTTGTGAATAAATTATTATTATTATTAATATTGTCGAATAACTGGGCCCCTACCCAAATTTTCAGGCCTCACTTATTGATTAATATATAAATCAATAATAGAATTGGTTTTAATATGGGATTAGGATATTTCATATATTGCTTAATAGTATTTTGTGGTTGCACGGTAATCTGATCGCGAGTGAATTTGATTTCCCATACGAAATTTTAAAGGTGATCAGCAGGTAGGTATTTTACGATATCAAGTTGCAACGTATCGTAATTTTACCATACCATCGTAATGGGACTCTTGAATGAATAATACCGTTACCACAGTATTAAGGCGTTAAAAGATTTCAATCTGGTCGTCCCTGTTTCAAAAGATTTTAAACTATTATCATTCTATAAAAAATACTTAAAAAATTTGGTAGATTACATTAAATACGTACTATTTTAATATTACCAACCAAGTAACAATTAATTTTTTGACACCAATCTTATATTATTTTTTTGTTTCAGATGATGAAACACGTGCAGCTTTCTCCTTACAGGAGTAGAGCTGACACTGTGTCCCTTAGTTCAACTGTATCCTATGGGAGTCTAAGTCCGGAACCCCTAGGAAGTAGATCTTCTAGTTATTCTTCATTAAATGAATCTGTACAGGTGAGTGATATTTTTGACAAAAATTAGGTTTTTCTGGTATACACTATAATGGATGAAACGTATTTAATAGGGCGAACTCAATCAACTCTTTGTTATACCACCTTTTAGAAAGCACCCGTAACATTTAACAGTCATTTTTTAAATCGTTACCCATGTTTTTTTATGCCATACTTGAACATAAATAAAAATTTAGACAGAAAGTTCTTACTTAAATTATAGTAACTTAAAAAACAAATTAAAGTTAAATTCTAATTTGTTATAAATTTGATATTGGAGCCTTTGTTTCGTCACTATATTTAAACTAATAGATATATAAACTTCAAAATTTAAGAAAATATTAATAAAAAGTCTAGAAACATTATTCTGCAAACAAAATTTTTAAATTTTAACAGCTATAGGGGTCTATTCTGTAATAATTCCTTTATATTTAACGGCCTTTAAAAATATTGGCGACCTTTAAAAATATGTTTGTATTCGTTAATTTACTTCTGTCATTATTTAAACAGATTTCTTTAAGATAGTCCTCTAATGTATTTTAAAGATCCGTTTAAATAATGACAGAAGTAAAGAAGAAAATATTTTTAAAGGCCTTTAAATATAAAGGAATTTTTACAGAATAGACCCCATACTCGGACAAAATATTGAAGAAGGTGATTCCTCCCTGATAACGTACAACAATAATACTATACCAGAGCATAATGAATGGAATCACGCCCTCAAAACTGCAGAACTTATCGGTATCACGTGCCAACTAGTCATAAATGCATGTTTATTGCCAAAATGTATTACGCCAGTGGCGTATAAAAACTATTGGCAAATTAAATGTGGTAATAAAAAATATTATTAGGTTGGTTATCTATTTTTGTAGTAATAATCATTTATGTTTATAATGTTGTTTTGTTTATTGTTAAAATATGTAAATATTATGCCAGTGGCGTAGAAACACTATTGGAAAATTAAATGGGGTATTATACTAGAACAAAATATTGAAGAAGGTGCGCCTTAAAACTGCAAAAGGTATCGTTATCATATCAAATGCACTCTTCCAGTGTCGCAGAATTACTATATTGGCAAATTAAAAGGGTTTTTGTAAATATTACTAGATGAAAGTAGGTTGGTTATCTATTTTTGTTATAATAATTTATCTATGTTTATAATTGTATTTTGTTTATTATAAAAATATGTAAATTAAGCTTGGTATCACTTACTTGAATTCTAAATCTATGAAGTTTCGCAATCCATTGATTCTGCAGAACTATCACTAGAATCGTCTTTATCGTCGGAACTTGTTATGACTAAAGATTCAACTACCGTTTCGATCATACCGTCCAAGCGCCACATATTATTTTCTTCCTTAATTACATGGGAAATAGCATTCTGCCAATCTTCAGGTTTTATACGTTCCATACCGGTTTTTGATAAACTTTGAACGTCGGCTATTTTAAAAGTTTTATTTTCTCGAGCTACAAACCCTTTCACTTGCGCCCAAATTAGTTCAATAGGATTGAATTCTCAGTGATAAGAGGGAAGTCTTAGTACCGTAATACCACGATCACGAGCCATTGTGTCGACAACATATTGAATATATTTATGGCGGTGTTCCTTTATTAGGTCCATTAATTCCACTTTAAACATTTCCTAAGTAAATGTTATTGCTTTATCCCGCAGCCAGGTTTGCATATCCGCTTTCCTACTGGACATTATCGGAATGCGTTCAACTCGTCGACTGTGATAAGAAGCGTTATCTAGTACAATAACTGAATTTCGTTCTACATGCTGTAATACTTCAGTAAACCATTTTTCAAAGCATTCCACATTCATGTCCTCGTGGTAGTCTCCTGTTTTTTTCGATATAAACATAAGAGCGCTATTTTCTAAAAATCCACTGTCACTTCCGATATAGGTAATAATTAGGCGCTGTCTTCTACCTGATGGTGCTTTCAAACCTATAGATAATCCCTCTATAAAAGCTTGGCGATGACTAGTTATAGAAGTATCTTGTCATATCTTAGATACTGTGTGTCCAACATTCACCAACGTTTCATCGAGATATTAGTCGCTTTCTTTTTACCACTAATCTGAGCTAACTTAGATCGTCTAGGCTTAGTTGTACGTTCTTTTTGTGATTGTAAGTCAGAATCTTTCTTCCCCCCTTACCGATGCTAAGGTGCATGGTACTTGACGTCAACCATAAACCATCACAGAAAGTGAGTGTTCTGTGCATCATATGAACAAACATATCCCATGAATTCATTATTTTAGAGAGAATAAAAGACTATGATAACAGGGGGTGAGATTTGTAGTGTTGAATGTTGATAAAAATTATAAAATTTGATTAAAATATGGATTGTTTTTAAACGGATGACATGGGGCACGTCACCTGTCAACCAAAATTCGCGTTCTTTTTACTGTTAAGCTTAGATCAGAATCTAACTTTTAGTTAGTCAAGAATGCTTGTAAAAAGAAAACGACTAGTATATCTTTTTTTAAAGGCTCTAAACTCTTTAATATTTCGTAAATAACGCCGTGGCCCGGACACTATATCTGACCTCTCAATTAAAATTGATTTCCTACACCGTTTGACGAAACGAAATTTTAGGTCCCAATAATTTTTTGTAAAGTTTCACGGCTCATTAATGGAATTTTAAGAAAAGTTTATTAGAATTGAATATTACATTCAAATATGCATTTACACCGATCTATCTGAAAAAACAGATTTTCTTATTTTTTATAAACTCTACACTCTACACATTTATTGTAAATATCTGAAAACGTTATAAATTACGTTAGCTACTATAAACATGATACGTTTTCCTTTTGTTGATGTTTGTGAAGAATTTAGCAAATTTCTTAATGAAAATTTTCGATTTTGTAAAAAAAAAAACGTACTTTACGCTTGAGCAAAATTCATATTTTTTGACAAACCTCGTATACGGCTTGAAAAATTTGATATCTGATGACTGTATTTTAAGTTTTGGGTCATGCAGGACTTTTTATCAAGAATAACTTTTTTTCCTAAAATCAATAATAAAAATGTTTTCCATATGGTTCCAACTTAAGTAGACACACTGTATATGAAAAATTGACACTTATAGACAGGTTAACCAACCTCTACAAAAATAAACGAACTAAAAATTAGATTTGCCATTGTCCGAATAGATGTCGCTACTTGTATATTTGACAGTAATCATTAAGAATGGCGTATAAAAACACAGTGTCTTAAAAAGGCAGTCGAAATTTTATAAAAAAAACATTATTTATTATACTAGTGATTAAAAAATAAAAGTTAAACAAAATTGTATCTAGTATACATCATCTTTTTGTTAGTTTATTTTATTTATTTTTCGAAAAAGTATAAAATAAGAAACCTAAATTATCTAAAGACCATACAAATATGTGTAATATGTCGAACAAAAAAATTATGCAGGATATCGTAGAGGAATTTTGATTGAATCTGTTTCAGAATTAATGTTGAACGTCATTTCTTTTCTAGATTTCAGTATTTATAAACTAATAATTATTAGTTCTAAGAGGAAGTAGTTTAGAAATTATGACGTTCAGTTAACTAACCGCTGAAAGGTTACCATTAAACTATTAAAAATGGAATTGATTTATTATTAATTTGTGGTAGCAAACGTTTTATCAAAATAAGAAAGTTGATTAATATTCTATTAAGGAAAAAGAAAACAATAACTATGAGGTGTTTGTATTATTAAATACCTACAAATTATAGTAATAGTACCTAGTTAAAATGCCCCGAAGTTGTATTTTTGACAATGCAAAAATTATTTTAGCAACATATAATTATTGTAGTTTCACATTAAAAAAAAACATTTTATAGATTGGAATTCAGTTGGTAAATATGTATAATTATATGATTGAGTGTTAATTTGTTTGCCTTATTTTTAGAGAAGTTATACGAGTAGTCATAAAGTGGTACTATTGTGTACTGCCATGGAATGTTTCTAATAATAGTACATGAATTATAAAATATACAGGGTGTTTCAAAAAGGTATGTCATAAATTCATCCTTAGATAGATTACCAAAAAATAAGTGGGTTTGGCTATATTTACCTATATCAAAAACTGGCTCCCAACAAAGTTACAGGGTGTTAAACTAACATTCAGAAAAACGTTTTTTTTGTTGCGATTTTTTCTTCGTAATTTTTGCCAGTGAAGATTTGAAGACCCAATATTCTAAGGAAAAATAAATTTAAAGCGACCCCTTTAAAAAAGTTGGGGGTTGGGTACCTTTTAACCCCCCGTATTTTTTTTGATATATAGAAACTTGCTTTATCGGTCTTAAAATCAAAAAGAACTATGAATTTTTAAAAATTTTTATAGCGAAATGAAGTTTGCTTCTTTCTTATTTAACAAGCTATTTACAATTTTTTAACTGAATTTCTAGAGCAATTCATCCTGGACTTAACGTATCAACAAAACTAAGAGTAGGTCAGGAATGATTGTACAAAAAATGCATTTACAAATCAGTGGTGTGCCTAGGGCTGTGCTTGAGCCGCCTCTGCAAAAACTACCTCTTTTATTTAAATTATGTGATTTGGACGTAGGGCTAAATTTGTTCTATATAATTCTAAATGGAATTTGTCGACAACGAGAAATGTTCTCTGTAATATTAAAAAATCACAAAAAATTTTCAACTAGGTTACTTCAAATTTTTTTTTAATAATAATTTCTCAATAAATTCCAAGGTAACCTATATATTTTATTGTAAAAAACAAAACCTAAATATTTCAAAAACCCTATTTTTAGTTTTTTTCTACTCCATCTAATCAATAAATAATAATATAATTCGAGAATTGTTGTTGAGGTCTTATTTTCTCGTAAGACACTGTACAAATACTAACGTTTTTAAAAAAAAATTCTCAAAAATTTTCACGGTAAGGTATAGTTAAAAGTTCAACATTAGATAAATAAGGACTTCAACTATTAGAAAAAAAATAAATTTTAGTCCTAATCTAATATTTTTTATTTAACATTGG